CTGATTTGGTCAGTAACAGTCAGTGCAGTTTAAAGATTCAAAATCAGACACCTTCAAATCTGCCTGCCTACATTAATACAAATAGACTACAAACTGGATATACTGTATTACAGTGGAGGGGGAAAGTTGGTCTTGAACTTTGGTTGAACACAGTTTAAAGCCTACATGTACTGCCAAATATTGACCGCATAGAGTCCTTTTTCACTCTCCTTTATTCTCTCTTCTTCCACACAGGGACCATTTAAGGACTTCCTGGAGGCTTTAGGAAGGCTGCAGAAGAAATTTAAAGAAAAAGATTGCCCCGTTCGTACCTACCTGGTGACATCTCGTGATGCAGGCAATGCAGGATACAGAGCCCTAAACACTCTGAAGACATGGGGTCTGGAGATTAATGAGGCTTACTTTTTGGGAGGGTCTCCCAAAGGCCCTGTGCTTAAGACGATCTGCCCCCACATCTTTTTTGATGACCAGATACGTCATNAGGCATTGCAGCTGCTGTCATGGACACCCCTGAAAAAATCACAGACGTGCTGGAGATGCTGGAGACCCCGCTGCGTGTTGTCTTCGATGGTGACGCTGTCCTCTTCTCTGATGAGTCTGAGCGTGCTTACACTGAACGTGGACTAGAAGGGTACTTGAAAAATGAGAGAGAAAAGGTCAACGTGCCAATGCCCAAAGTATGTGGATACTGATTTTTTTCCTACTATGATTATTATCTTTGTGTTATTGCAAAAATGAAAGTGTTACAGCAAAAATCATCATATAACATAACTACATTAACAACAACAACTGCACTTATGATTAAAATTACCTATACCTACAGCACCTTTCTTTCTCTAAGAAAAAATCATTGGGTGGGTTCAGGCATTCAAGCTGCTGGCACAGTGTATATATTTGCATATGAATTTAATGTTCAGATAAACAATAAACTGGTGTTATTGCATAGCTTTAACCTTCTGTCCTATTCACCCGTTGCTCTCTTCATTGCTACATTGTCAATACAGCAGTGTGATCATAATTATAGTCAAATGTCTTGCGATACTGTTAAGAGGACTTTTTGTGTTAGAACAAACTTGAGTGGGAAAAAAGAAGCAAAAACAGCAGCCACTTTGAATTATTAACATGTGCTGGTCCGTTAGAATACAAAGTTTTAGAATACTTGAAATTTGAATTATCATTATGTCTCAGTTTTCTTATTTATTGACTTTTTTTTTTGTTTTCATCCAAGTTAAATTGTCCACTTCTCTATTGCACTTCTAAAATAAATAAATGAACGTTTGGCCAGAAAGGGCTGTATGGGCTGCACACTGAGATCTGTTTGTAGTGGCTGCTTTTATCTTGTTCCAAGCTCTGAGGCAACTTGGATTGCCAAAGAGGAGATCGGGGTTGTGGAGGGAGCTGCGTCAGTAAATTGAACAAATGGTGATGGCATGCAGTATTGGCGGAGTGAAAGTGAGAAGTGTCAGGTTACAGATTATACAGAAAGGACTGTTTGATTGATTACTGATTGATTACTGATTGATTACTAAAATGCATACCTACACATGGTGAGCAACTATGAACACAAAGTGGCTGTTAAGTGGACAGGAATCCTTTTTGAGCTTTTAATTATTTTATTTTTATCATCATCTATAATGGTTGCATAATGAAGTGTTTCTGTTTGTTTATTTACTTCCCTATCAGGGGTCTTTAAGTCTCAGTGAGAGTAGATCTAGATGAAAACTGCAAAGCACATTGAAGATCAGACACACTGTACATCATGGCTGAGCTAACAATGGTGCTTTGAGGAGCTCCACTGCTAAACGCTACTGATTTGGTCAGTAACAGTCAGTGCAGTTTAAAGATTCAAAATCAGACACCTTCAAATCTGCCTGCCTACATTAATACAAATAGACTACAAACTGGATATACTGTATTACAGTGGAGGGGGAAAGTTGGTCTTGAACTTTGGTTGAACACAGTTTAAAGCCTACATGTACTGCCAAATATTGACCGCATAGAGTCCTTTTTCACTCTCCTTTATTCTCTCTTCTTCCACACAGGGACCATTTAAGGACTTCCTGGAAGCTTTAGGAAGGCTGCAGAAGAAATTTAAAGAAAAAGATTGCCCCGTTCGTACCTACCTGGTGACATCTCGTGATGCAGGCAATGCAGGATACAGAGCCCTAAACACTCTGAAGACATGGGGTCTGGAGATTAATGAGGCTTACTTTTTGGGAGGGTCTCCCAAAGGCCCTGTGCTTAAGACGATCTGCCCCCACATCTTTTTTGATGACCAGATACGTCATGTTCAGGGCGCAATGAAGGAGGGCGTGGTGGCATGTCATGTGAAATACCAGTAGAGTATCTAAGCCATAGGGTCACAGGGTACAGCTAATGACCATTTTAACAATAAAAGCAAAAAAATAAAAACATAAATTATTTTTTAGACACAATCATTAAATTGTATTACTTTACCTGTTGGGTTTTTTAATTTGGTGTTTTTTTCTGGCTACTGCTTTCTGCATAAACTTTTCATTTGTCGATCTAGCATGTAGGTGGTGTTAACTATGTACTGTCTGTGCCTGAGGTAGTTTTAATATAACAAATTTAAGGCAACATGGGAAACAGAGCAGAATTCATCTGTCACACTTCATTCAGAGGCATTCAGTCATCCTCTGCCAGCCCTACCCATTCCACTGACTGTCCCGTTGTTTCAGATCCTGCTCTGCAGGGCAGCCACTTTACCAGTCACCTGACTCCCACACACACCTGCTCACCTGTTCCCCATTTCCTCATTTGTATCCTGTCTATTTCTGAACCTGCGTTTTGCCTGCTCCCTTTTGTCCTGATTTTTTTGCTTTCCTTTTGCTGACCTCTGCCTGCTGACTTTACCCCCTCACCTTTTTCCCTTACCTGCTTTGTCTGCATTACCTGTTGAATGAAGGAGATAATGAATGGAGCAGAGAGAGCAGGACTAATCCTCTGGAGACCATAAGTGCCTGTACAAACCCATCTGGCTCACCCTGTGTGATATGGCTACCTGTAGCTTTTGCCAGCACATAGATTCCAGCATATGCATTGGAAAGGTCTCCTCACATCCTGGACACCATCAAAGCACAATCCACCAAACTCAAAAACAGTTTCTTTCCCATTGCCCTAAACATATTTAACTCGAACAAGCATTGAATGACCCCTTAGTTAAAATATGATGACTGTCTCTCTAGGGCAATGTCTACTGAGTTGTTGGTTGTGGTTGTTTTTTTGCTGGTACTGTTTTGTTTCCCAGTGTCTTTTTTAATGCTAATAATAATGCTAAAACTAATACTAATATTAAGACTAATCAGGAGTAGTGCTCCTAATTTCGTTGTATTCTGTACAATAACAATAAAGGCTTTCTGCTACGGGTGTGCACACATGAGTGTCCCTGCCTGTTTTAAACCTAATTTGCATCAATTTGCAGATGTAAATGTAATAAGCTTATAACAGAAGAACTGTAAGGCCAAAATGCATTTATGAAGACCTAATTTGAAAGGTAACATGTTCTATTATTTCTATCTATATTCTTGTTTTGCATGTGACTACAACCAAACCTAAACTACATCAGCTCATACATGGTATTTTTTTAGTATTTTTCGGTCACCTGTAAAAAAGTCATTTTACATAACTATGAACAGGATATACTTAACACAAGAACAATGAAAAGCTCCACAGTACTTTAACATTTTGTCAAAAAGTCCTCAGCTTCAAGGCCTCTAATAGTTTAGTTTAATAAGCCTTTATAGTTCATTTTTTCACTGGTGCCCATAAACCTCTCCAAAAGGAAAACTGGGAGAAATGTGCTTTAAGACCAATATGAAATAATAGAAAACATACTGAAGTATTTTGATGCCTAAGAAACCTTTGTGAACCATTCAAGATAGACCTGACCTTTGTCTGTGTCATAAACTCAGGCTATTGGCCTTGCCTCTGAAGTGCTCGGCCCCCTAGTGTGCTCTGATTGGTCAGGGGAGACGTCTATCAACAAGCTAGAGTCATTCAGAAAAGCTGTGAAAAAACAGGGAAGAACATTACGTCTTATGCTCAGTTACCGACCCCCCTGAAGTGAAATCTGATTCTATCTTTGATCTTTACAGGAAAGCCTCCATTTTGTAGTCAGAAAGGTAATAAACAAAATCTCCATGGCAACCTCTGAGTGCAGTTAGGCACAAACAGCTGATTCAGGTTAGCTGATTAGACATTTCTCTGATACCTGTAGTGTTTATCAAACACTCGACTGACATTTCTGTGTTTTAGTCAGGAGACTTTTGACATAATTTCAATTGGTGCTTCTAGCTGACTTGACACACACACACACACACACACACACACACACACACACACACACACACACACACACACACACACACACACACACGTTGCTGTTTCTCTCTAATTGAGACTCCAGTTTAAAAGATTTTCATAATGTAAATCAAAATAAAAGGTGTTGATTGTGAGGATACATAATATGTAGTTAAAAAAAACAACTAATATCTTTTAGAAGCCAGCAACGGAGTTTAGTGTCAGCTATTCCAGAAGCCAACGATCCCTCTGCAATTTCTTCAGAAACTGCATCATCTAGTTGCATTTGGTATAGCAAATATTACAAGAGTAGAAAACAGCTGTTAATGGATCTGTAAATCTGACTCACGTCTTTCAGCTAATCCAAAATGAAAACTTTTAACACCTTTACTGATGATAACAGGAAGAAAAGACAGAAATACTTAAATATTGCTAAACCAGTTTACTTCTGATCTGACTGCTCCTTCAAACTTGCATCAGGACAGACCTTAATCTTCACCAAGTCACTGAAGAAAATTATGTTTTGTCCCTGCAGGTCATGGTGGCTCTATTAAATATTAATTGTACACAAAGTGCAACATTAAAGTAGGTAAGTCATTATAGTATTATGATATACCTGAGGGTTAAACACTCATATTATTACTTTTTCTGTAAGGTCTGATAAAAAGACAATGAACCAGTTAACCCTTTCAAATGCATTTTATTTATTAATAATTCTTTCCTTATTTGAAAGTTGGATTACTTGACAATGTAAATGTGTTTTGTAGAAACAAAAAACGAAATATTATCTGAGTCCCCCTCACAAATCAAATGCACACAAGTTCTCGTCAGTAAGTTGTCTACTTCATTAATGTAATTTGTTGTTTCTATTTGGCAAGAATAAAATATTCTTCCTAATATTTAATTCCTTCATGACTTTCAGCTTGGTCTCAGATGAGCACAGCCAGCAGTCCTGCTACTGATCCTCCAGCACTAGCCACAGCTGCAGTGGCAGTTGTTGACAGACCAGCCATACCTGCAGCGAGACAACACACGTTAAAGACTGTCCAGCAGATCATCAATGGCTTTTTTGGCTCATCCTCACTGTTACATAATGTGACATTATTGTTTCTTATAGGTTCAAGTTTGATCAGATTACAAAGGATCTTGTGTAGTTTTTGTTGCACTTCAGGAAGAAGTGGATGAAAGTTTGAGGGTACATAATGCCCCTTTGATTATCATTCCAGCAATGGTTACGGTGTTTACCTGCTGCTATTCCAGCTCCCAGAACAATAGGAGCAGCGATCACTGCGCCACCTGGACGCAGACAAGAAGACAGAGAAAGATTGTTTAATACATTAGCTGATCTGAAATGTTAGCATGTTTAATGTCTTTTTTATGTGAAAAAGTGAACAGGTGATTCATAAAGGTTCTGTCTTACCTGCTCCAGCAGCAACGGCCATGTAAGTCACTGAGACACAAGATAAAAACAAGAATGAACATTGAAACTACAGCTCAGTGGCATTATCAAAGATATTTGCTGTAATGACTATCAGAAGATTATGGAAAGCAAGTGTTAACTATCAAAGAAATAAATCAATATTGTCAAAGGAACAGTTATACTCACAGAGCCCCATTTTCACGCAGACGGTGTGGTGTGTCCAGCAGCAGCAGCAGCAGCAGCCTTATATAGCAGGCTCAGCTGTTATTTATTGAGAAACGAAACTTTGATAAAATCAACAAAGGAGGGCGTTAGAGAGCACGTGTTTCCATCTCAAATAAGTTCAAGTAATTAGCATTCCTCAGATGCTAAATCATTATTATGATTGGAACATTACAGCCCCATCTTTGTTTAGGTTCAAGCAACACAGCACTTTGGTTCAGGTTAGAGAAAGACCATGATACTGGTTAAATGTTAATAAACACATGTGTCTCAAGTCAGTGCAGATTTTTTCTATATTAAACCAGACCTTGATCTTTCCCTTAACTTTAATCAAATGCTGCCAGTTGTGTATACTGTAAATGTAATCTCATAGAGGCCAAGCTGACCATATGATCATAACATCCGTGGTTGGGGGACGTTTGCTGTATGCCATGTATTACTATGTGTGTTACACCTGTAAGAATATGTTATCAATCAGCTGGTATCAAATCAGCTGATGAATGAACCAACAATGGTGAAACATAAATGGAGCAGATGATGTGAGTGTAACTTACGTAAATGCTCTGCCCAAATTAGTAACACTTTATAATTGGAACAGCAACTCCCCAACATGGTATTTTAATGTACCCACAATGCCATCTCCACCTATGGAGCACATGGTGCACAATGGAGTACCAGTATAACCAGCAGTACATCATAGTGTACTTAAGCCAAAAACAATGCAAAGGACAAAATATAATAAGCACTACATACGTTTGATCCTCATTCCCTTTGTTGAATCATCTAAACATTTATGAAGCAAAAATCTCTGGCAGCATTCGTCTAATAATATAATTATAACTTTATATGTTATATTGTAGCTACAATTCGCACATTACATTCGCAGTGTGTACTTTGAGTTGGCATTCATAGTACATTAAAATAACAGGTTTCCCTTTCTCTCACTCTGCTTTATGCAGCATACCACTCACTATGGTGTATAAAACATTAGTCATTACAGTGATTGACTTGTGGTTTTCACAAATTAATAGAAGCCTCTGTAGTGTCCCCATGATAAGTGGCCTATCATCCTTTGTAATGCTCATCCCCATTCAATAAAGTCTGCCCTTATGTATTTTGTACAACTGTCATGTGAGTATTAAAAGATTAAGATTAAGATTAAAAGATGATTTGAAAAATCCCGATGTCTCTGATTTGTAGTTTAGCTACTAATCATGAATTCCTTAATAGCCACTTCTTAGTTTTGTAGGACGATGCCTTGCTTTACTTGGATACAAAAAGGGTAAGTTATGGTAACCATGAGGTAAAGAGGAATTACCTATTAAGTTCTTAGTATGATGCACTGCAGGAAGGCACAAGAAGGGTTAGTAATGGTCAGATAATCATGAGGTAATGAGGAAATACAATGTGTCACTTCATTTGAGGGGAACAAAAAATCGAATATTTTAGTAATTAGAAATTAACATGTCGTAACGAGTTTTATGTCTGTCAGCAGCTAATTCAGCAACGATTCATGAAGAAAGTGGTCAGTATTTGATACTTATGAATTAATCATTACTTATATGCGTCATTAATATAGTATTCCCCAGTAATTTGTTTCATTAGATATTCTTACATTTGATTCACATTCTCGTTTTATTCAGTTATGTTTCTCTTCATTGTGCTGCTGTACCATGTAAAGTTGATCACACCACAGAGCCTGTTCCAAGCTTGCCTTAAAAGGATGGTTTCGCAATTATTTCTTGCCTGAATTTTTCATTGTATTAGATGAATGTTATAACCATTATGACCTTCCTTGGGTTAAAACGTAGGAGTTCATTATTTTCCACATATTCAGTCTATGGGGGTAAAGATGGCATTGGTACATCTCTCATCTTGAGTATCTGCTGTTACAAGTTTCAGGGGATTGGCTTGTTAATGTACTTAATGCATCATCATCACTGGTTCATACATCAGGTTACACAACAATTTCAGTTGCGAAACTCATTGCTGTACAATGGGATTATAGGTTCAAACTTGATCGACCAATATTACATTAATTCCAGCCAGTAATACGACTGAGAAAGATAGAGAGAGGAGAGAGTATAAAAGAGCAATCAGGAGACCCACTGGGACTCCTGGGAGTGAGGTGAATAGGTGAGTTGTAAAAACTATCAGTATTTGACCAGCCCTGGAAAGAACATGGAAAGAAGTGGCAGCAGTGAAGGAAATGCTATGATGGAAGCAAAACAAGTGAGTTCGTCTTACACAACACAATTTAGTTTTGTCCTTTTACCATGGGTTAGGGTTAGGGTTAGGCACTGGTTGGAGGGGGCAGATCAGCCTTTCATCGTGTGGACAGATCATAAGAACTTGTCATACCTGCGGACGGCTCGCCGCCTCAACTCATGCCAGGCTCGCTGGGCTCTATTCCTGGGCAGGTTCCGCTTCACACTCACCTATCATCCCAGCTCCAGGAACATTAAGCCCGATGCGCTCTCCCGGCAGTTCATCGTTGAGGAGGGGGGTCCCTCCAACGAGACCATCGTCGCCCTTTTCTGTGTGGTGGGGGCTGTCCGGTGGCGGGTCGAACAGGAAGTGCAGGATGCTCTTCAGGGCCAACCGGTGCCGGACGGGTGTCCCCCAGGTCGACTCTTTGTTCCTCCCGCGGTAAGATCCACAGTGCTGACATGGGGGCACACTTCACGCATGGCTTGCCATCCCGGAGTTCACCGCACCCTCGCCCTGGTTCAGCAGCACTTCTGGTGGCCGTCCATGGCTGCCGACGTCAGGACCTTCGTTGCCGCGTGCACCGTGTGTGCACGAAACAAGTCTTCTCATCGGCCCCCAGCAGGTCTCCTCCAGCCTCTCCCGATTCCGCCGCGCCCCTGGTCCCACATAGCATGCCCCCCTCTGAGGGTAACGACACTATTTTAACTATTGTGGACCGGTTCTCCAAGGCGGTACATTTTGTTCCCCTCCCCAAATTACCTTGGAGACCGCTAACTTATTAGTTTCACATGTTTTCAGACTTCACGGGATCCCCATGGACATTGTTTCGGACCGAGGCCCACAGTTCACGTCGGCTGTCTGGAAGGCTTTTTACCGGTCCCTGGGAGCCACTTCCAGCTTGACTTCGGGTTACCATCCTCAATCCAATGGCCAAACGGAAAGGGCCAATCAAGACCTGGAGACTGCCCTGCGCTGTGTTGCCGCCCGACTTCCTTCCTCTTGGGCAACACATCTGCCATGGGTGGAATACGCTCACAACACCCTAATTAGCTCGGCCACGGGTCTGTCTCCTTTCATGATTAATACAGGTTATCAACCCCCGCTATTTCCCAGTCAGGAGTCGGACTCGGCGGTGCCCTCGGTCCGAGCCCAGTTTCGGAGAGTGAAACGTGTGTGGCGGGAAACCCGAGCAGCTCTGGGGAGGACAGCCGAGCAGAACAAGAGGCTGGCGGAACGCCACCAGATCCCGGCCCCAAACTATGAGGTGGGTCAAAAGGTTTGGCTGTCGTCACGTGATATTCCCCTTCAGACGGATTTGCGGAAGATGGCTCCCAGATACATCGGTCCTTTCGAGGTGGAGAAGATCATCAACCCCAGCGTCGTCCGCCTACGCCTGCCTGCCTCACTAAACGTGCACCCTGTATTCCACGTCTCCCTCCTGAAACCTGTCACCGTAAGCTCTCTCCAGCCACCAGCACCACAGCCTCCTCCCCCTCGCCTCATCGAAGGCCACCCTGCTTACACGGTTGCCCGCATCCTGGATGTCCGCAGGCGGGGCCGAGGTTTCCAGTACCTTGTCGATTGGGAGGGGTACGGTCCCGAGGAGCGCTCTTGGATCTCGCGCTCCCTCATCCTCGACCCACAGCTGCTGCGAGACTTCTATACACAGTTCCCCGGTAAACCAGGTAGGACGCCAGGTGGCGTCCATTAGAGGGGGGGTACTATTATGGTTCTGATTTTGTGATTTTTGATTTTGGTGTAATCCCTCTCCCTCTCAGCAGGTCGATGCAGAGAGGCGGGGCTGATCGACTCGGGAGCGAGGCTCATGAGGCACACCTGCCTTCCATCTGCAATTAAGTCCCTATTTAAACCACTCACGCTCTGGCTCCTGTGCAGAACTATTGCATTCCCGACCAAGCTCCTCGTGAAATCGCTTCCCAGTAGATCTTCCCCACTCTCGTGTATCTTAGTGTTTTCCTATCGCAGCATTTTGCTAACAGAGCTTCCAGTGAGTTTTTGCAGTCCTGGCTCTTTATTTTCTAGCAATTTTGTAAGTCTAGTTTTTCCCCCCTTTTGGGTGATTTTCTGTTGATACTTTTGCCGTCGTGGTTTTTTGTGTTTTGTAGTTTATTTGGTTTTCCCCGTTTGTTCCCCGCAAGGGTGTTTTTTGTTGTGTGTTTTTGTTAAATAAATTCTTCTTTTGAACGTCTCTGCATCTGGGTCCTGGTTCCGAGTTACCGCCGTAACACATGTATTTTTATTTTAAAAAAAAACAACTTGTTTAATGTTCACAATCTTTTTGGTCATTAAAGTATTACATCCAACTTTTGCCTTGTATGCATTTTTCATTGATGTTTTTAGTAGTGTAAGATAGTGTTATATAACCAAAGGTCTTTGGGTTTTTACCAAAACAGGCTAAGATACTGTTAATAAAATACTTTTTTAACATGAAAGGTATGTTAAATATACAAGAAATCTAGGTAAAATTACATGTAAAAAACAAAAATTAACAGTTCATTGTTGCAATTTTAAACCCACTACCAAGTTTTTCAATTTTTGACATTTTTTGAAAGATAAATCAAATGTTTTTATGTGTGGTATATCATTTTATTACATCAATTATGAATTAATATACAGGTTTTTTATGTAAAATTATGTAATAAAAACCAACTAATAACAGTACCTTTCTGCAATTTTAAGCCTTATTATTTGTATTATAACAATGTTAGACCTTATTTATAGGTAATTTCATTGTTTTTACATGGGTAAATATTCTTTATTAAATATTAAAAAGCAAAAATATATAGAAAAAATATAGAAAATCTCATGTAAAATTAAAGCTATAAACTGTATTTTAATTATCGAAAATTACTGTATTTTTATGAGATAGTTATTTTCCGTTATTTTACAGTATTTTTCTGGCGCCAGAGCTGCCGGAATATTACCGTTTTTTTTTAAGTTTTTTTTTTACAGTGTAGGTGCAGTTGTTGTTTTTAATGTAGTTATGTTATATGATGATTTTAGCTGATATGATGTTTTTTGGGGCCAATATGATTAGAATTTTTAATATTTATTAAAAAAACAAAACAAAAAACAACGCAGCGGCTCATTGGTTCATTTTTACGTATGGCACAAGACTGACCCATTCACACCTCCTCCTGTGCTGGCCCCACCTCTCCCTCTCTGTCCTTTCAGTATCAGTCTGAGCGGCACACCGGTGGACGAAGGAGGGAGGCGTCCAAAATGGACAGACAGCAAAATCAAACACGGAAGAAGAGAGGTGCGGTGAAGACAGAGGAGCAGGAGGAGATGCAGGAGTGTGGCAGGGAAGCCGAGGAGCACAGTGAGCAGGAGGAGAGTAGTGCCGAAGTGGAAGCAGGAGGTAGCAGGAAGGTAAAAAGTGACACTCAGGGAGTAACGTTAGGCTTTGTGTAAGGTGACTGCAAAGGAGGTGCTGTGCGTTCAACCGATTGAGATAATAAAATAATAAAAAACTTATTGCAGTAATAAAAGGTGAGTTTACAGGCTTAAGATTGATCTTTAACGACACCAAATAAGGAGCAAGGTAAGGCATAAAAAAAAAAGTTTCATCTCTGTCAGTCACCTAATGAGACCAGTGAAAAAAAATATAATATATACTGTATAGAGAGCAAAAGAGTAACACTTACCATACTTTTGAATAATTTGCCACAAAGTTTCATTTTCACAATTTATGATCAGAATAATTAAATGATTTGTCAAAATATGCATGAAGAATAACCCAATTAAATCAAAAACACAAACACTGTTTGGAATAAGTCAAAATGTTGTTAAAAATAATGGTAGTCACTTCAAAGTGGGATTATTGTTAAGATGTCAAACATTGGTTTCTTCTGATGCTCCAGCAGGATCCAGAGACTCCGATCACCATTGTGATGTCTTTAGAAATCCTCTTCAAGAAGAAGAAGCAGAGCAGCAGCTCAATGAGCCCTGGACCTGCCTTCTCCTTTGTCAAGGTCTGACATGGAAAATAACTGAGGAACATACACAGGAATAAGCAAGCACACGTGTAGTTACACAAGTAACTACACACACATGCACAGATGCATAGATCAATAGCAAGTAGTAATTTAGTAAGAAGTCTTATTGATTGTGTTCTGAGAATTGAGAATATACAGTTTAACACACACACACACACACACACACACACACATACACACACACACACACACACACGCTTTCCTTTTCAATGCAGTTATTCAGTCAATTGTGTTTTCTAATGTCATGAATTTTGTTGTGTTCAGGCTCTGAAGGCAGCGAATGCTAAAATTAAGATGCGTTACCCTGAGACTGAGGAGCTCTTTAAGGTCGTGCTCATCCATGACAACCCAGACTTGACAAACAGAATCATCAACGACTACAGTGAGTAATTGATACACCAAAACAATTTTTATCAGCATCTTTATCATGCATTCAGGTACATATCGATAAGCAACCCATTTATTTAAATGATAATTTAAATAAGTAATTTTATTTACTTATTTGAACTGTTATGTATGTGTGGCAGGGATGAGTTGGGTATATTTGCTTGTCGACAATGCCACCTAGGGGTATTTCACCCCCAGGAAGTTATTCTACACATGACAAAATCCAACTACACACTACAACTACTACTGCTGCGACATGACTTGATTTGTTGTTTGGCACCTTTGCCGCCAGTTTCGGCTGTTATGGTTGAATGTCTTTGCAAATCAAAGATCTATACAATAACTACATAAAGATTGGGCAAAGGATGTTGAAGGAGCAGCAAAAAAACAAACAATTTTCAATGTGTTCAATTCATCATGTCTGAGTCTCACTTCCCTAGCTACCTCCTATAGAACGAGGTCCAATACGTGGTTGCAACGTACATAAAGGGATTCTGGACACTCTGCTTTCAGTGTCACTTGAACACCATTTAAACGCTCAGACATATTGGACGCACCGTTTAAACAATATCCTTGAATACATTCCAGTGGTAAGATTACACAGAGAAAAATGTCCTTGATGCATGAAAACAGTGTTTCTGCTGATGAGTCACATGCATTGTAAAATCCAGACATGCTCTGTCCTGTTAAGTTTGAATCCAACTGTAAACAGCAAGAGAATTCCCTACATGCAGTAATGTCTGTAGTTCCATCTGCTCCGAGTCCAAAGAAGGAACATCGGCGAGTTTCGGAGATGATTTCTCGCTTTAGGGTATGACCAAACATTTCAAGGATTTTGTTTTGGATTGTATCTGACAGCTTTCATGGTGCGAGTGAGCTCCAGCAAGAGGTAGGAACAAATTGCAGAGTCACCCGCCTAGATACAGTGCTGAATGGCACTGCCAAGCATCAGGAAGCAGATGATTTGAATCCATTGTGGGCAGTGAGAGGGGAGAATCTGCTACATGTGTATGGAATTTATCTAGAGGAAGGTTCATGTAGAAATAATTAGACTATGAGGATCAGAATAAAAATCATAAAAATATCCTTGAGTGATTACTTTTACTTCTGAGATGAAACCTTTTATTGAAAAACACACCCAGCTGTCAGCTCCTATATTATCCACAAACTCAGCTTTTCTTACATGTATGTCCCACAAGATCTCAAAAATGTAAATTTTTATGTGTCTATATATTATAATTAATCAACAGTACTGTGAAATAAACGGCGTGTCTCTCATATGTACCTGTAATGCAAGCATGAAATAATGCATCTGGAAATTAATAGTATCTGCTCAGAACATTATTTGGGCAAATGATTGTTCATTGGGCTTCTCATTCTTTCTTGTTTGCAGATCTGGAGGACATAATTACTCCCTTGTTAGTGAGGGAAGAGGATCTCATAGGTGAATTACAGCGAAACAATACCCATGTATACCTGTCTGCTCCAAGTGAGCTGAAGGTTCCAGATGTGATAAAAGCGGGTAAGTGTAAATAGAGTGGTAAACAAATGAGAGAACCTGCCTGTTATGGATTTTTTTTAACATGTTCTACACCTTCAACACTGATACCTTGAACAATTAAATTCATTCTGTATAGTGTAGTTGTACATGACCCTGTCTATTCATGTGAATTAATGTCCCTGCACCAGGCATTGCAGCTGCTGTCATGGACACCCCTGAAAAAATCACAGACGTGCCGGAGACCCCGCTGCGTGTTGTCTTCGATGGTGACGCTGTCCTCTTCTCTGATGAGTCTGAGCGTGCTTACACTGAACGTGGACTAGAAGGGTACTTGAAAAATGAGAGAGAAAAGGTCAACGTGCCAATGCCCAAAGTATGTGGATACTGATTTTTTTCCTACTATGATTATTATCTTTGTGTTATTGCAAAAATGAAAGTGTTACAGCAAAAATCATCATATAACATAACTACATTAACAACAACAACTGCACTTATGATTAAAATTACCTATACCTACAGCACCTTTCTTTCTCTAAGAAAAAATCATTGGGTGGGTTCAGGCATTCAAGCTGCTGGCACAGTGTATATATTTGCATATGAATTTAATGTTCAGATAAACAATAAACTGGTGTTATTGCATAGCTTTAACCTTCTGTCCTATTCACCCGTTGCTCTCTTCATTGCTACATTGTCAATACAGCAGTGTGATCATAATTATAGTCAAATGTCTTGCGATACTGTTAAGAGGACTTTTTGTGTTAGAACAAACTTGAGTGGGAAAAAAGAAGCAAAAACAGCAGCCACTTTGAATTATTAACATGTGCTGGTCCGTTAGAATACAAAGTTTTAGAATACTTGAAATTTGAATTATCATTATGTCTCAGTTTTCTTATTTATTGACTTTTTTTTTTGTTTTCATCCAAGTTAAATTGTCCACTTCTCTATTGCACTTCTAAAATAAATAAATGAACGTTTGGCCAGAAAGGGCTGTATGGGCTGCACACTGAGATCTGTTTGTAGTGGCTGCTTTTATCTTGTTCCAAGCTCTGAGGCAACTTGGATTGCCAAAGAGGAGATCGGGGTTGTGGAGGGAGCTGCGTCAGTAAATTGAACAAATGGTGATGGCATGCAGTATTGGCGGAGTGAAAGTGAGAAGTGTCAGGTTACAGATTATACAGAAAGGACTGTTTGATTGATTACTGATTGATTACTGATTGATTACTAATATTAATACCTACACATGGTGAGCAACTATGAACACAAAGTGGCTGTTAAGTGGACAGGAATCCTTTTTGAGCTTTTAATTATTTTATTTTTATCATCATCTATAATGGTTGCATAATGAAGTGTTTCTGTTTGTTTATTTACTTCCCTATCAGGGGTCTTTAAGTCTCAGTGAGAGTAGATCTAGATGAAAACTGCAAAGCACATTGAAGATCAGACACACTGTACATCATGGCTGAGCTAACAATGGTGCTTTGAGGAGCTCCACTGCTAAACGCTACTGATTTGGTCAGTAACAGTCAGTGCAGTTTAAAGATTCAAAATCAGACACCTTCAAATCTGCCTGCCTACATTAATACAAATAGACTACAAACTGGATATACTGTATTACAGTGGAGGGGGAAAGTTGGTCTTGAACTTTGGTTGAACACAGTTTAAAGCCTACATGTACTGCCAAATATTGACCGCATAGAGTCCTTTTTCACTCTCCTTTATTCTCTCTTCTTCCACACAGGGACCATTTAAGGACTTCCTGGAGGCTTTAGGAAGGCTGCAGAAGAAATTTAAAGAAAAAGATTGCCCCGTTCGTACCTACCTGGTGACATCTCGTGATGCAGGCAATGCAGGATACAGAGCCCTAAACACTCTGAAGACATGGGGTCTGGAGATTAATGAGGCTTACTTTTTGGGAGGGTCTCCCAAAGGCCCTGTGCTTAAGACGATCTGCCCCCACATCTTTTTTGATGACCAGATACGTCATGTTCAGGGCGCAATGAAGGAGGGCGTGGTGGCATGTCATGTGAAATACCAGTAGAGTATCTAAGCCATAGGGTCACAGGGTACAGCTAATGACCATTTTAACAATAAAAGCAAAAAAATAAAAACATAAATTTTTTTTTAGACACAATCATTAAATTGTATTACTTTACCTGTTGGGTTTTTTAATTTGGTGTTTTTTTCTGGCTACTGCTTTCTGCATAAACTTTTCATTTGTCGATCTAGCATGTAGGTGGTGTTAACTATGTACTGTCTGTGCCTGAGGTAGTTTTAATATAACAAATTTAAGGCAACATGGGAAACAGAGCAGAATTCATCTGTCACACTTCATTCAGAGGCATTCAGTCATCCTCTGCCAGCCCTACCCATTCCACTGACTGTCCCGTTGTTTCAGATCCTGCTCTGCAGGGCAGCCACTTTACCAGTCACCTGACTCCCACACACACCTGCTCACCTGTTCCCCATTTCCTCATTTGTATCCTGTCTATTTCTGAACCTGCGTTTTGCCTGCTCCCTTTTGTCCTGATTTTTTTGCTTTCCTTTTGCTGACCTCTGCCTGCTGACTTTACCCCCTCACCTTTTTCCCTTACCTGCTTTGTCTGCATTACCTGTTGAATGAAGGAGATAATGAATGGAGCAGAGAGAGCAGGACTAATCCTCTGGAGACCATAAGTGCCTGTACAAACCCATCTGGCTCACCCTGTGTGATATGGCTACCTGTAGCTTTTGCCAGCACATAGATTCCAGCATATGCATTGGAAAGGTCTCCTCACATCCTGGACACCATCAAAGCACAATCCACCAAACTCAAAAACAGTTTCTTTCCCATTGCCCTAAACATATTTAACTCGAACAAGCATTGAATGACCCCTTAGTTAAAATATGATGACTGTCTCTCTAGGGCAATGTCTACTGAGTTGTTGGTTGTGGTTGTTTTTTTGCTGGTACTGTTTTGTTTCCCAGTGTCTTTTTTAATGCTAATAATAATGCTAAAACTAATACTAATATTAAGACTAATCAGGAGTAGTGCTCCTAATTTCGTTGTATTCTGTACAATAACAATAAAGGCTTTCTGCTACGGGTGTGCACACATGAGTGTCCCTGCCTGTTTTAAACCTAATTTGCATCAATTTGCAGATGTAAATGTAATAAGCTTATAACAGAAGAACTGTAAGGCCAAAATGCATTTATGAAGACCTAATTTGAAAGGTAACATGTTCTATTATTTCTATCTATATTCTTGTTTTGCATGTGACTACAACCAAACCTAAACTACATCAGCTCATACATGGTATTTTTTTAGTATTTTTCGGTCACCTGTAAAAAAGTCATTTTACATAACTATGAACAGGATATACTTAACACAAGAACAATGAAAAGCTCCACAGTACTTTAACATTTTGTCAAAAAGTCCTCAGCTTCAAGGCCTCTAATAGTTTAGTTTAATAAGCCTTTATAGTTCATTTTTTCACTGGTGCCCATAAACCTCTCCAAAAGGAAAACTGGGAGAAATGTGCTTTAAGACCAATATGAAATAATAGAAAACATACTGAAGTATTTTGATGCCTAAGAAACCTTTGTGAACCATTCAAGATAGACCTGACCTTTGTCTGTGTCATAAACTCAGGCTATTGGCCTTGCCTCTGAAGTGCTCGGCCCCCTAGTGTGCTCTGATTGGTCAGGGGAGACGTCTATCAACAAGCTAGAGTCATTCAGAAAAGCTGTGAAAAAACAGGGAAGAACATTACGTCTTATGCTCAGTTACCGACCCCCCTGAAGTGAAATCTGATTCTATCTTTGATCTTTACAGGAAAGCCTCCATTTTGTAGTCAGAAAGGTAATAAACAAAATCTCCATGGCAACCTCTGAGTGCAGTTAGGCACAAACAGCTGATTCAGGTTAGCTGATTAGACATTTCTCTGATACCTGTAGTGTTTATCAAACACTCGACTGACATTTCTGTGTTTTAGTCAGGAGACTTTTGACATAATTTCAATTGGTGCTTCTAGCTGACTTGACACACACACACACAGACACACAAACACACACACACAGACACACACACGTTGCTGTTTTTCTCTAATTGAGACTCCAGTTTAAAAGATTTTCATAATTTAAACCAAAATAAAAGGTGTTGATTGTGAGGATACATAATATGTAGTTAAAAAACAACAACTAATATCTTTTAGAAGCCAGCAATGGAGTTTAGTGTCAGCTATTCCAGAAGCCAACGATCCCTCTGCAATTTCTTCAGAAACTGCATCATCTAGTTGCATTTGGTATAGCAAATATTACAAGAGTAGAAAGCAGCTGTTAATGGATCTGTAAATCTGACTCACGTCTTTCAGCTAATCCAAAATGAAAACTTTTAACACCTTTACTGATGATAACAGGAAGAAAAGACAGAAATACTTAAGTATTGCTAAACCAGTTTACTTCTGATCTGACTGCTCCTTCAAACTTGCATCAGGACAGACCTTAATCTTCACCAAGTCACTGAAGAAAATTATGTTTTGTCCCTGCAGGTCATGGTGGCTCTATTAAATATTAATTGTACACAAAGTGCAAAATTACAGTAGGTAAGTCATTATAGTATTATGATATACCTGAGGGTTAAACACTCATATTATTACTTTTTCTGTAAGGTCTGATAAAAAGACAATGAACCAGTTAACCCTTTCAAATGCATTTTATTTATTAATAATTCTTTCCTTATTTGAAAGTTGGATTACTTGACAATGTAAATGTGTTTTGTAGAAACAAAAAACTAAACATTATCTCAGTCCCCCTCACAATTCAAATGCACACAAGTTCTCCTTCAGTAGGTTATCTACTTCATTGACATTATTCAGTAAATATATATACGTATATATATGTATATTCTTCCTTATATTTAATTCCTTCATGACTTTCAGCTTGGTCTCAGATGAGCACAGCCAGCAGTCCTGCTACTGATCCTCCAGCACTAGCCACAGCTGCAGTGGCAGTTGTTGACAGACCAGCCATACCTGCAGCGAGACAACACACGTTAAAGACTGTCCAGCAGATCATCAATGGCTTTTTTTGGCACATCCTCACTGTTACATAATGTGACATTATTGTTTCTTATAGGTTCAAGTTTGATCAGATTACAAAGGATCTTGTGTAGTTTTTGTTGCACTTCAGGAAGAAGTGGATGAAAGTTTGAGGGTACATAATGCCCCTTTGATTATCATTCCAGCAATGGTTACGGTGTTTACCTGCTGACTGCAAAACAGCCACCGCACTTCCTGCTGCCACTCCACCTCCATTTGCAATAGCAGCAGACGACATCATGGTTGCAGCGTAGGACCCAGCTGCTATTCCAGCTGAGGTAAAACCTACGGCTCCCAGAACAAGAGGAGCAGAGATCACTGCGCCGCCTGGACACAGACAAGAAGACAGAGAAAGATTGTTTAATACATTAGCTGATCTGAAATGTTAGCATGTTTAATGTCTTTTTTATGTGAAAAAGTGAACAGGTGATTCATAAAGGTTCTGTCTTACCTGCTCCAGCAGCAACGGCCATGTAAGTCACTGAGACACAAGATAAAAACAAGAATGAACATTGAAACTACAGCTCAGTGGCATTATCAAAGATATTTGCTGTAATGACTATCAGAAGATTATGGAAAGAAAGTGTTAACTATCAAAGAAATAAATCAATATTGTCAAAGGAACAGTTATACTCACAGAGCCCCATTTTCACGCAGACGGTGTGGTGTGTCCAGCAGCAGCAGCAGCAGCAGCCTTATATAGCAGGCTCAGCTGTTATTTATTGAGAAACGAAACTTTGATAAAATCAACAAAGGAGGGCGTTAGAGAGCACGTGTTTCCATCTCAAATAAGTTCAAGTAATTAGCATTCCTCAGATGCTAAATCATTATTATGATTGGAACATTACAGCCCCATCTTTGTTTAGGTTCAAGCAACACAGCACTTTGGTTCAGGTTAGAGAAAGACCATGATACTGGTTAAATGTTAATAAACACATGTGTCTCAAGTCAGTGCAGATTTTTTCTATATTAAACCAGACCTTGATCTTTCCCTTAACTTTAATCAAATGCTGCCAGTTGTGTATACTGTAAATGTAATCTCATAGAGGCCAAGCTGACCATATGATCATAACATCCGTGGTTGGGGGACGTTTGCTGTATGCCATGTATTACTATGTGTGTTACACCTGTAAGAATATGTTATCAATCAGCTGGTATCAAATCAGCTGATGAATGAACCAACAATGGTGAAACATAAATGGAGCAGATGATGTGAGTGTAACTTACGTAAATGCTCTGCCCAAATTAGTAACACTTTATAATTGGAACAGCAACTCCCCAACATGGTATTTTAATGTACCCACAATGCCATCTCCACCTATGGAGCACATGGTGCACAATGGAGTACCAGTATAACCAGCAGTACATCATAGTGTACTTAAGTCAAAAACAATGCAAAGGACAAAGTATAATAAGCACTACATACGTTTGATCCTCATTCCCTTTGTTGAATCATCTCACCATTTATGAAGCAAAAATCACTAGCAGCATTCATCTAATAATATAATTATAACTTTATATGTTATATTGTAGCTACAGGGGTAGCTTTAAGGTGGATATTAGTCATAATAAACTGCTAATATTGCTAACAACTGTTTTTTTTTACAGGATTACTGGATTTTACAATAATAAAAAATCTGAATGCGAATATTTTTTTCAGTAGAGCCATATGTTCACCAGCATTGATGTATTTGCATATATCGAAAACAGAAAACTAAATCAAGAGGAGACAAGTTTAAGTACGACAGGTAGAGGATTAAAGCGTGAGTTACCATTTAGTGTTCTATTGTTGTGTTTATATATTATTACTCATTTATTATATGAAACATATTTCCAGTGAAAACTTGAAATGTGTGTAAATTCATGTGTCCTGTACACAGTGTGGGAACAGTCTGTAGCAGGACTTTGACAGAAATGTCAGTCAAGAGTTTGATAAACACCACAGACATCAGAGAAATGGTCTAATCAACTGATCTGAATCAGCTGTTTGTGCCTAACTGTACTCAGAGGTTGCCATGGAGATTTTAAGTAGTCGCTTGCAAAGAAATCCAACCGAATAATAATGTAATTAAGATTCCATTTCAAAATAGTTTTCAATGTAAACCAAATAAAAGATAGTGATTGTGAGGATATACAATATGTCGATTAAAAAATCATATTTCTTTTAGAAGCCAGCAACTCAGTTTGGTGTCAGCTTTTCCAGAAGCCAGCAATCCCTCTGCAATTTCCTCTGAAACTGTAGGTTTCTTGCATTTGGTATATCAAATATGACAAGAGTAGAAAGCAGCTGTTAATGGATCTGTAAATCTGACTCATGTCTTTCAGCTAATCCAAAATGAAAACTTTTAACACCTTTACTGATGATAACAGGAAGAAAAGACAGAAATACTTAAGTATTGCTAAACCAGTTTACTTCTGATCTGACTGCTCCTTCAAACTTGCACCAGGAGAAATTTTCATCTTCACCAAGTCACTGAAGAAAATAATGTTTTGTCCCTGCAGGTCATGGTGGCTCTATTAAATATTAATTGTACACAAAGTGCAACATTAAAGTAGGTACTTAAATTTAGAAATCATAATATTATTATGATACACCTCAGAGTTAAAGCCTCATATTAAAACTGTTTCTGTAAGGTCAGATAGATGAATATTTAACCTAAAAAAGACAATGAACCGCTTCAACCTTTCAAATGCATTTATTTAGGTTGCTTTTCTTTTCATAAAGTTTCACCATTCAGTGATATAACATCTTCTCACACTTAAGGTAACTGCTCACAAGCACACTTTTCAGCTGTCTCAAACACAAAAATACTGCTTTGTTATTTGCTTTATCAGAGTGACAGGATTTGCAATTGTTTCCGTTTGACAAAAGTCAATTTTTGAATCCATAAAGATTTTCAGCGGATGAAGCTAGCCAGCCATCCCACTGCTGCTCCAGCACCGCTCACAGCTGCAGTGGTAGCCCCTGACACACCAGCTGCACCTACAGTGAAATTACACACATTTGAAGATCAATACATTTTATTAAGTTATCAATGAATGAAACAGTGGCACTACTTTCATCACATTCTATACAGTAGCAATATTATTGTACCTAAAGACGAAAGTATTTTGTTCAATCTTGTAATTATCTACCAAAGGATACAGATCAAACCAAAATAAAAAATCTACTTGTGGTCTTTACCTATTGATTGCAAAACGGCCACCACACTTCCTGCTGCCACTCCACCTCCGTTAGAAACTGCAGCAACCGACATCATTTTAGCAGCAATGGAGCTTGCTGCTATTCCAGCTGAGGTGAATCCAGCGGCGCCAAGAACTAAAGGAGCAGAGGCCACAGCACCGGCTGCGCATGCTGCAAACAGATAAGACCCCAGCACAGAGGGAGCATGCACGATTTAGAAAAAAATGGTTTTTAAATTCAGCTTAAAACCGTGAAGTCCATCGTAATGTCTTACCTGCTCCTACAACTGCACCTGTCACTGAAACACAAGAGAGGAACAAACATTAATATCTGGTTACAGCTCAGTTCACTACATGTTTACTTTTGTATAGGGAAGACTCTGGGAGCTGATGCTCATCTGTTTTACTATAACGACCCCGGACATCACCTGCGTCTCTACACTGTCATTAAAAAACTGAAACATGCTACATACAGTATAAGTTTTAATTTTCAACGAGATGTGTCAGTCTCAAAGGTACAGTGGTACTCACCAGGGTCCATGGTTGTCTCTGTTCCCTGCCGTTTTTCTCTGTTCTGACTGACGAGCCTTGAGCTGGACTTTGTTATATACAGGCTGTGAAGTGGGCTGAATTTTACTTGTTTTGTGAGGGTATGTTTCTTGAGAAACGAAACTATACAATCTGTTACAATCTGACCAAAAGAGGGCGACAGAGAGAGACCAGCTTTATCCACGTGACTCTGTTGTGACTGGCAAGAAAGATAGGAAAATGAAGCCCAGTACAGTATTAAACATTTCTGAGATGGTAAGTCATCATTGCAACTGGAACATCAGAGGAAAAAAATTGATTGGCGACTGAATGAATGTGAACATGAATGGATGTTTGTCTCTATATGTCAGCCCTGTGGTTGGATTGGAACTGTGTGCTGATAGATAGATAGATAGATAGATAGATAGATAGATAGATAGATAGATAGATAGATAGATAGATAGATAGATCTCAATTTAAAACAATGATCCAGTAAAAAAAATATTCAAATGCATTTTATTTATGAATTATTTTTCATTATTTGAATGTTCTTGACAATGTAAATGTGTTTTGTAGAAACAAAAAACTAAACATTATCTCAGTCCCCCTCACAATTCAAATGCACACAAGTTCTCCTTCAGTAGGTTATCTACTTCATTGACATTATTCAGTAAATATATATACGTATATATATGTATATTCTTCCTAATATTTAATTCCTTCATGACTTTCAGCTTGGTCTCAGATGAGCACAGCCAGCAGTCCTGCTACTGACCCTCCAGCACTAGCCACAGCTGCAGTGGCAGTTGTTGACAGACCAGCCATACCTGCAGCGAGACAACACACGTTAAAGACTGTCCAGCAGATCATCAATGGCTTTTTTTGGCACATCCTCACTGTTACATAATGTGACATTATTGTTTCTTATACGTTCAAGTTTGATCAGATTACAAAGGATCTTGTGTAGTTTTTGTTGCACTTCAGGAAGAAGTGGATGAAAGTTTGAGGGTACATAATGCCCCTTTGATTATCATTCCAGCAATGGTTACGGTGTTTACCTGCTGACTGCAAAACAGCCACCGCACTTCCTGCTGCCACTCCACCTCCATTTGCAATAGCAGCAGACGACATCATGGTTGCAGCGTAGGACCCAGCTGCTATTCCAGCTGAGGTAAAACCTACGGCTCCCAGAACAAGAGGAGCAGAGATCACTGCGCCGCCTGGACACAGACAAGAAGACAGAGAAAGATTGTTTAATACATTAGCTGATCTGAAATGTTAGCATGTTTAATGTCTTTTTTATGTGAAAAAGTGAACAGGTGATTCATAAAGGTTCTGTCTTACCTGCTCCAGCAGCAACGGCCATGTAAGTCACTGAGACACAAGATAAAAACAAGAATGAACATTGAAACTACAGCTCAGTGGCATTATCAAAGATATTTGCTGTAATGACTATCAGACGATTATGGAAAGAAAGTGTTAACTATCAAAGAAATAAATCAATATTGTCAAAGGAACAGTTATACTCACAGAGCCCCATTTTCACTCAGAGTAGCCAACACAAAAAGGGTGTGGTGTATCCGGTACAATAACTGTTGTTGCAGTATGAGAGCAGCAGCAGCAGCTCGGATGCTTCTGAGCCTTATACAAGAGGTTTAGCTGTGGTTTCTTGAGAAACGAAACTTTGTTAGCATCCAAACAATAGAGGGCACCACAGAGCACTTGTTTCCATTTCACCCATATAAAATTAAGTAAATAACATTCCTGAGATGCTAAGTCATAATTATGATTGGAAAATTAGAAGGAAAACAAAAGACAGAAATCATAAAATATGATTGACCCTAATTTGAACCCATAGATCTAATGACCAGATGCTTATATCTTAAAGCCCCTATTTAAAAGATGAACTGTGAAAGCACCATGATGCAATACTAAACTCTCATCAGTGGAGGGTGGTATTCCCCTGCTATATAGAAGGTAACAGTGGCAGCAAACCCTCGTTAGTTTTAAGTCCCTTTCGTCAGTGTTGTGTAAGATTGAAAGTGAAAGGTTATCATCTGTTTACAGAGAGAGGGAGAAAGAGAAGAAATCTTTGGTGTTCAAGTTGTCAAAAGCAAGCCATTTTTAAATGTGATGAAAAATGTATAATAAATAAATAATTTTGCTGGAATACTGATTTAGAAGATCTTTTACAGTTCACCGCTCTGTGGTTCCCCTCAGCTCCAATTATTTCATTATTGAATAATGGGAAATTTGATCATCAGCTCAATTTTACTTAATTTCAGTATAGTTGTGTCAAAAGAGACCCTAATAACATCCTGAAAAATTATACCTGCATCTGTAAAATCAAACTTTGGCACACTGAAATAAAATGCTGTATGTCATGAAGAAACTGGGAAGAGTAATTTCAACTACACTGGACAAATCTGCTGCATTTATGACTGATTGACTTCTGTGAAAATTGTATTCTTTCAGTTTGTATATTTTTCACTGCTTTGCATGACAACATCAAGGCAAATTCCTTGCGCCTGAAAACCTACTTAGTTATAAACCCGTTTCTGATTTTCTAATTTTTATTGACTGATTTGGAACATGCATAGATTTAAAGTTCTCTCACATTGCTTGATTCAGTCTTTTATTCATTCACTGTCTTTCTTTCTGGTGGACATCATGGAAATATTTACAGACAACACAATGAACCAGGATCTTCTACTGTTTATACAGACTTATTTCACACTTCAAATGTTTGAGATCATGAGACTGCTGTTTAAGTAAATGAATGATTGAACTGGCTCCTGTTATTTTTTGTCTTTCTTGCCCCCGAATGCTTTTATGCCGATGAGGCTAGCCAGCCATCCCACTGTTCCTCCAGCGCCGGCCACAGCTGCAGTGGCACCCCCTGACAGACCAACCGCACCTACAGTGAGATATACACACATTTCCCAACAGAACATCAGTGGGTTATTTCAAGTTTTCGAGCCACAGAGAAGCTGAGAAAACCTTGTCCTCAAGCCAAAAGAGTAAATCAAACATGGCACTATTGTCATGACTCAGCAGTAGTATCATTACATTATACCTAAACAATTTGACTGTTCTTCCAACAAAAATCATCTCATCATTAAATGCAACAATTAAAACCATCTTAAAATACCTGCTGATTGTAAAATAGCCACCAGACTTCCTGCTGCAATTCCACCTCCGTTAGCAATAGCAGCAGACGACATCATGGATGCCGCGAAGGACCCAGCTGCTATTCCAGCTGAGGTGAAACCTACGGCCCCCAGGACTACAGGGGCCAGGGCCACAGCACCCACTGCACATTGACAAGAACACAGTAGAGGACACTTCCACTTTCTGATGGCAGTGTGCTGATTTATGAGATCATGCACGATATAGGCTTAGCATGTTGGCTAAATGGTTTTTATACAATAATGTGTGTTAAAAATCATTACTGAAAGTAAACTCGGGTATTCCCATAAAATGTTACCAAGGTCTTACCTCCTCCTACCACTGTGGTAGTTGTCCCTGGAACATAAGATGCAAACAGAAATTAACATTTTGAGCTCATCTGGCTGAATCAAAGACATTTGCTCTGGTTACCAACATCTTTTTATGACAAAAAAGTGAAAGTATCTTTGGTAAGAAACAAACTCGCAAGGGCCCATGTGTTTTTTCCTGGTCTTACAAGTCTGAAACTGGGCAAATTGTCTGCCATGTAACAGCCGAACCGGGAAACATATCAAGTCAATCGTGTTGCTGCACTGATGCAAGCGCACAGTTGAGGTTCATGACAGTTAGCTCACTAGCAAAAGCTGTCAACCCGTATGCCAATTGTCTGGGTAAAATGATCATCAAATCAAACACTTGTGTGATGGATCAACTTTATTCAAACATCTGACGAACTGTAAACTGAAGAAAAAAAAAGTTTTGGGCAAAGATGATCTTTTTAATGCAAAATAACCGTACACACACACACACACACACACACACACACTATATTTTATCATTATTTATATTTACACACATATATGAGGCTTACCTATAAGGACTTTGTTGAAGGTACTGAGAGAGGAAGCTTCTTTTTCTTCCTTTTCTTTGTCATCCTTTTCTTCTTTTTCTTCTTCTTCTTCTTCTATTTCTTCTTCATCCCATTTTAAGGAGAATGGATTTGCTACGATATAGTGTGTTAAAAATTATTTGAGATGGCGAACTCATGAAAATCATATAAAAAGGTTTTCCAAAGTCTTACCTTCTCCTGGCTCAATGGCGGCAGCTGTCCCCAAGAGACACAAGATAGAAACAGAAATTACTATTTACAGCGCATCTGTCTGAATCAATGACATTTGCTATGGTTACAGTCATAATAATTTTTTTATGGTGAAAACATAATAATATAAACTTTTAGACAGTATATGGATGAGATACAGTAGCCTAGATGGATATTTATCTAATATGAAAAGAACATAAAAAACGTATCATTGTAGTTAGAGTTGAACTCCTTTAAGGAAACTAAAACCTTCAAAAAAAATTTAAAGTCATGTTTTGAGTTACAGGGAAAACATTTTTTATCATTATGTGCTTTCATAGGGATGGCAGAAACTATCTCAGGCCAGTACCCAAATTTAACCAACGAATAATGAAAGTCATGGGCACACAGCACACACACCACTCTAACTGTAGATATCATGCAAATTGCGAATATTAAATATTTCATCGGGGCGTCGTTTCGATGCGCTCCGGAAGCTCTGCACTTACGCTTTCAAAGAAAGCAGAAAAACTGAAGAAACAGTGATACTCACAGATGCCCATGTTGTTTTTCCTCGTCTGAATAAACTGAAACTGCGCAGAGATTCTGAGAAACCCAACCTCTTCTCCGCCTGTATTTTCCTATGTATTTCCTTCTTCTTCTTCTTCTTCTTTATTTATGTTTTCGTGGCAAACAGCGTTAAGGTGAATTACCGCCACCTAAAGTGTTGGAGTGTGGGCAAAATAAAATAAAATAACATAATAAAATCAAATCAAAAATATTCATATTTTTAAATATGAAGAGTTTCATAATTCTCATTAACTATATCCTACCTACTGTGAGGTGTAAATGACTGTAATAACCTTAATGAAGAAACAGAAACCTTTAAGACTGGTGAACTAAAAGCAAAACCTGTGCTCCCTGTATTAGGATCCTTGGACCCATTAGTATGTACTAGGACAAATGTTTGATATAATGTTTGTAGCCTATCTTCAACCAAGACTGTAACTGCATTTTTCACAGAATATATAAATCAAATGATACTGAGGGAAACAGTCCGGGTGCTGTGACTGGTAATGGCACATTAGGGATATATCTTTTCTTTTCTGACATGTCTCTAGCTACTTTCTCACTGCTCCATGCGAAACGCTCCCATTTGGCCCTTCCTCTCTCCCAGCATAAGAGAAGTACTTTTGTTACTGAACGTCAATCTTCTGAGTGCCCTTGAAGATTTTCCCAGTGGTTAATCATTAACTGTTTGCGTCTAATATACAGCACAACTCACCCAGCTCAGTCTGAAGAGTCTCAGTCTCAGTTTAATGATGTTTTTACTGCTGAACCATACGCAACACACCCATAGTCTAACACTAATGCTATCAGCACCACATACAAACTTTTAATTGCAGATCTGCTCTCTGCAGAGATCTTTTTACACCTGGTCTTTATCTTATGAATATGTTTGTTCCATGTTAACTCAAGTCAACCACACATCCACTACTGTTTTGGCTTTTTTCAACTGAAAACTTGAACCCCCACAAATATGATATTTTTTCAACCAAATTAACTGCCATACATTTTTCCATCATGTGACTACGGTAATATTCTTTCCCCTTTTCCACAAGGCTCCGTCATCAGCAGACAATGACCGTCTAATATCACCTTGAACTTGAGAAAAGAAACATCATCTATCACAGTGGAAAAGAGTATTGAGCTAATGACAATGAAACAGCCTTGATGAGGAGTGTTATCTACCAACGAAAACGAAACTATGTGGTAATCTGAACAGAAGAGGGCGACAGTCTCTCCCTCCATTAAACCACAGGCAATCCAAGAACAGGAAACGAAATTTAAGGAAATCTTCCTGAAAGTGAGACATGACAGTTACTGGAGCATCGGATTTCCGGTTAGATGGCGTATTGAGCAATAAGTCAAAGCAGAAGCTGCAGCAACTATGTCCCACATTTGAATCAGCATTTGACTAGAAGCACTCCAAACATTCAAAATGGAAGAATAGAAAAGAAACAATGACAAATGGCGCAATTTAGGGAACCAGCTAAACAGAGTTGCTGCATGATCGCTAGTTTAACCAAAGCGGTCCACTTCAATGCTGGAGAAGATAAGGATTGCTAGAAAAAAAATCAACGAGATGGAAAGTACAATGAGCGCCTCGGTAAAGAAAATGAGGAGCTGAAGGAAAGAATCAGGGAGCAGGAAATATATAAGATGCGATGGTGTCTGAAACTTAAAGTTCTGACTGAGAAAGGTGATGTAAACATCAGAGCAGACCTCATGAAACTTCTTAACAAGATCGCCCCCGACTTGGAAATGCGCCAGCTAGAAGAAGCCATAGATATTGAACACAGAGTCGGCCCGAAAGGATGACAACAGGAACAGGACACTAGGGCACCTAGTCGTATTATTTGCTCAGAGATTTGTCAAGGAGGGAAAATGGCGGCACAGCAAGGATTCATCTGTGTGCAAGCACAGAGGCATAGGCTTCACTGAGATGCTGCTGCTGGAGGATAGAGAGACCAGGAATAATCTGTCGGGCTGGGAAGCAAGCCTATACTACCGAGGACCACACGGTTACATAGACGGTCAGTGAATTGTTTTAATAGGATCAAGGTTTGATTTACATTCAGTTTATGAAAAGGAGTGTAACATAAGGACATGGGACTATTTTGATTATTGTTGTCAGCATAAAGCTAATTGCACTTAAATTCTGTTATTGAACTCTTGTTCTGAACCTAATTTCTAACAGTAGTGCTCACTTGCACAGTTTCATTCGCTTCATAAAATGTAAGGGGTCTTAACGACTTGGTTAAAAGAAAGGCATTGTTCTTATTTTGCAAAGGGCGAAAATCACACTTGTCTTTTGTTACAAGGAACTCATTCCTCCGATTTGGATGTGAGCTTTTGGACCAACTAGTGGGGTGATCGAATATTATTTAGTCATGGAACCGACAAAACCGCTGGTGTTGCAATCTGTTTCAACAGATTTCCAGCTGATATTATCACACACGGGACAGATGGAGAACGTCACGCGTTAATGGCTGTCTTGAAAGTTGAAAGTAATTTATTCGTATTGATTAATGTGTATGGTCACAGAACTACTGCTCATAACAAACAAATTTTGGAAAATATCACTAATGCAGTATCAGAGCTTGGATCACTCTACCCGACAGACTTTATTTCAATGGGAGGTAACAGGAATATTACACCAGATGAATGGGAAGATAGGTGGCCCTCAAAATTTGAAAGTTATCATGATCATACAATTGGAGAATTTATTCATAGGAATTGCCTGGTAGATGTATGGAGAAATTTAAATCCAGAGGAAAAACAATATTCCTGGTATAAACCTAATAGTGCCTGTAAATCCAGAATTGATTACTGGCTTGCAGCTGATTCGGTCATGGAACTTATCTCAGACACCTCCATTTCCAAAGCCCCATTAACCGATCAATTTAAGCAAAGGCTTCTGGAAGTTAAACACTAGCTTGAAAAAAAAGGGAATACTGCTCAAAGATATGAGAAATAACTTACATGAAAGTAATGAGACCATAGACAGTTTCTGTAATAAATGGGAATGTATATATTTATTGATTTTTTTAATGAAATTCAGTAAGGAAATTATTAAGGAAAAAGAAAAGAAACCAATTTGTTTCTGGATATCAGTCAGTGTTGTGGGAAAGAAGAACTAAGTAGTGAAGATAAAGAAAGACTACTGACATTGCAATCCAAATTAGATGATATCTATCTTAAAAGGGTCCGGGGTGCATTTGTGAGATCAAGAGAAAAGTGGATAGAAGAAGGGGAAACGAATACTTCATATTTTAGCAATCTGGAGAAGAGAAGACAAAAAAAATAAAGCAGTAGTAAGCTTATTGATAAATGGAGTAGAATGTAAGGACACTAGAATAATTGAAAAGGAAGTTTTTATAGTAAGCTCTATACATCTGCATACTCCCTCATTTACTCTGCCAGACTTTTTTGAAAAAATTAAACACTTCATACTGAAAATTTCAAAGAATTTGGTGAGTCAGATCTAAAAATAGAAGAATTCGACAATGTTATCCTGAAAATGTCATTGAACAAATCCCCTGGCTCTGATGGACTCACAGCACTTAGAGAGAGATTCTTCTGGAAAGATATCAGAAACTTGTTGTTCAAGGCGATACAAAAATGCACTGAGAAAAATGAACCAATGCCAAGCATGAAGCAAGGTCTAATTACACTTATTCCAAAGAATGGCATTAAGGATAAAAGGTTACTAGACAATTTAACACCAATTACACCACTCAACAGTGATTATAAATTGTTATCTGGATGTATTGCAGCTAGAATGAAAAAAGGCCTGGCCCAGATAATAAGTGAAACACTATCTGGTTTCCTTAGTTGGAGATCCATTCACAACTACATAAGATTAGTTCTATGATTAAAGTCGCTCATTTTCAGAAAACGGTTTTATTGTATTTCTAGATTTTTATAAAGCCTTTGATTCGTTGGAACATCCTTTCATATTGGAAACGTTTGATCAATTTAGTTTTGGACAAAAATTTAGAAACTGAATTGGTATGTTATACAAGGATATTAATAGTGTGTAGCCTTGGAATCTGGTACTTGTACAAGATTTACAGTTTAGAGGGGCATTAGACAAGGCTGCTCTCCTTTATTATTTATAGTAGTTGCTGAATTACTGTCTGTTATGATTAAGAACACTGGAACTGAAGGTATAAATATAAATGGAAAATGCATCATAATAAGTCACAACGTGACACAATGTTATTTAAAAAAAAAAAAAAAAAAAAAAAATGAAGAACAACTTTCCATAGTGTTAGGATCCATTAATCAATTCTCAAATGCAGCAGGTGTGAAACTAAACATCAGTAAATGCGGAATATTACCTTACATGATCAACCGCCACGCTCAATTTGTAACATTAAGGTTAAATCAGAAGTCAAATACTTGGGTATCACTGTCACCAGAAATAAAGAAATTAGGGAGAAATGTAAAACAGTTTTGAACTGATGGTTACAGAGGGACACAACTGTAACCCTTTGGAAAGATTCTGCTGTCTAAGAGGGAAAGTCTCTCAATAGCTATTTATCTTCTTAAACTATGTGCCTTTTTATTTTCTTTTTGGTTTATTAGTTCAATTCAACATTGATACATGCACTGTAATATGCCAGAAAAGTGTTTTGTACCTGAACATTGAAAGAATAATGGAAAAAAAGTTACTGGAGCATTGTGGACAGAGGAAGATAAAGAAATGAAAGCCTGTAGCCAAGGGCATAAGTTTGGTCTCAACCCTGTCATCCCTCCAAAACAAACAGATCGGCTTTTTAATGTTGTCAACCAAACGGTATATTAACATATCAGATTTGAATTTACATGCAAGAATGCCTATAAGCAAATGTAATATATGTACATGTTTTGAATATCCATATATGAAATATATCTACATATGAAGTAAAATGATATATGTATAAAAGTATAGCTTAAATATATAAAAGTTACATATGAAAACTACTAGAAACTGGGACAATATCATAAATTGACATAGCCTATGTCTAGCTAATAGAAAGATGTATTTTATTATGTCTGTTCATATTGTAGGCATATGTTACATAAATATCT